TGCGATCGACGATACGGCAGCAGGCTGCAACTAGGTTCACAGAAGCTAGCCCTTTCCCCAAACACCAGTAGCTGTATTACCGCTTCTCTCATGTAGTCCCTTGTTCTCTGAGAGAGAGCGTCACTTAGTGGATGGGATACCACCAGCAGCTGTGAAAGGAGGCAGGAGCAGGCCCCCGATAGCCCAGAGGACCACCAAGAAGACTGACCATCAGACTATCCCCTCCCAGGAGAAAGCCGACCGTGCAAATGCTAAGCGAGCCTAGCAAAAGCGGGGTAAAGAGGAGAAGGGGGGATCGTGAGAACCCCCAGAGGAGAAAAGGGCCCCCCAAGAGCCACGAGGGCGAACCAGGGAGGGGGACGAGAAGAGGCAGCCTCTTGGAGGCAGGAGGGAGGAGTAGCAGAGGCCTGCACCCCCCTAGTGGGGGGGGTGCTCGACCGAAAAAGTGGTGATGGTTCTCTGGTGTTGAGTCGTTCCCAAATAGGAAATAAATTTCAATGACCGGAGTTGTAACGGAGACGGAGGATGTTGGCTCAATAAGCTTAATGAGATATAATAATAATAATAATAAAGGCACATTAGTGACACTGCAGTCTTGAAAGGGCAAATTGACGAGCTCAACCAACAAGTTTCATACCTACAAGCACAGCATCAACATCAAGCCTCCACCCCCGCTCCCCCACCCCCAACACTACCACACCCCCCACCTCAGCACACCTGGGCCGCGAGGACAGCCAAAACACTCCCTGCCCACCCCTCTACAACCATACCAAACAAAACTCCACCAGCTGAAGTTTTGACCAAACGCCACCGTACTGTTGTTATTGAAAGAGACGGCACTACCCTCCCAGATGACACCAACCACCTCCACATTCGCGACGCTGTTAACATTGCTATCAAAGATCAACTTATCTCCAACATTGAGTTCACGCCTAACCATCATGTCCTCCTCATCACCAAGGATAACACTCTTGCCTCCACTGTCCTTAAAAACCATCACTTTGTTATTGAGGAAGCTATTAGAGCTACCATTCCTGCCGCCTCTGGCCTCAGAAAAGATGAAGTCTGGCCCAAGGTCATCATACACGGCATCCCAACCACCACCACTTTCCCCACAGTCCAGGCAGAGATTGAAGCCTTCAACCCTGGCACCCACCTTCCCCGCCCTCCTAGATGGCTTACCACTGAAGCCCAACGCCAGAACAAAGCTGCAGCAGCTATGGTCCTCACGATTGCCGGCAAAGACCCTACAGACAAAGCCCTCAGTAGAGGCCTCTCTCTCTTTGGCAGGAAATTTAAGGTTCACCATTACCTCACCTTTGGTCCTAACACTCAATGCTCCAGATGCTTGGAGTTTGGCCACCACCCAACCCAATGCACCAAAACCCCACACTACGCAATATGTTCTTAGGAACACCCAGCCCACCTTTACACTTGCGGAAGGTCAGACTGTCCTACCAAGGGCAAACCATGCCTTCACACCACTATTCTCTGCCTCAACTGTGGCAACAATCATCTGGCTGCCTCTAAGGATTGTCCCACCTACCTACATGCACACCAGGCAGCAACTGATAGGAGGAGCAGGGCTGCTTAGGTTTTATTACTTTGTATTTCCTTTATTTGCTAGGCTTTAGGCCGGGAGGAGGATTTTATTTTGTGGTTGGCGCTTTGGCCGGGGTGCCCAACGAAAAGATAACACTATCATGTAGTACGAGATGGATCCATAGCCCTGGTACTTGAGAGTACCCTGATGTATGTAGTGCCGCTTCATAGCCTTTGGCTCCATAAGCGAGATAATGAGATATAATATTAATAATAATGCCTCCTCCACCATACTTCTTTCAACTCTCCAGACCACAACTTGCAACTGTCACCCAACTTAGACTTGGGCATGGCTACTTCAACTCTTATCTTAGCAGACTGGATCAGAATGTCAGTGACAGATACAGTTGTAGTAAAAGAATACCAGCACCAGAGACACCAGAAGACCTGATCCTATACTGTAGCAGATACCAACTGCATAGATACCTTTTAAGATCCGTTGCTCAAATACTTCCACCTCCCAGATGTGCTTGAATCTAAGGCTGGATTACTCGCTTTAGGAGAGTTTCTGAGAAAGAGTTGGGTTGCAACTAGGCAAGGCCACCTTGGACAAGTGCCAGAGTGTGAGGGCTCTGGCAATAGAAGTAGTGGGATGGAGGATAGAAGTTCGGAAGAGGAGGATGGAGGACAGGCATATGAATGGGAGGAGACACAGGTGGAGAGACAGAGAGAATGGAGGATGGCACCAGGCCAGGTGGAGGAATAGAATGAAATTGGATGGCAGAAGGCCCAGTGAACAGGGGATACAATGATTGAGGAGATGAAATTGAGGACCAGTAGTGGGAAGCACTACAATCATGTACTTTTACAGCTTCATACCCTCAAGCTCCATAAGCTTAATGACATATAATAATATAATAATAGCCTACCCCGTATCACCTGCTGTGCCCAAAGAATGCCTGAGAAACCTTCTATCAATCTCAGTACTTACCTGGAACCTCCCTAACTGTCAAAGCAGGCAAAGAAAATAAGAAAGCCTGGAATCTAGGTGAGGTAGTAGGGAGGAGCTCCCAAGGGGAGAGGTGGTATGCAGGATGCTAGCAGGGGAAGACCTAGTATGGGGTGAGCTGGTAGACGTACGCTAGAGGGTAGTCAGGAAGGAGTGATTGCCAGCTGTGATTATTACTCAGAATCTCAGGATGAGAACTACTCAGTTGTGATTATTTGCAACACAATCTGGATGTGGCACTTCCTAACCTCAGTTCCTGAAGGCCATCAGACTTGTTGTCCCAGAATCAGATGTAGGGGGACATAACCAGACTTGGTGTCCCGGAACTCGATGCTGTGGAATGCAATCAGACTTGGCACTTTACTACCAGATACACAGGATGCAACCAGACTTAGCACCCCACTACTGGGCATACAGGACACATCAGATGCAGTATCGTTCCTGCTTGCATCAGGATACACCACCCATGCCTCTGATATGGTCATAATCTTTACTGATAACCTATGACTCACTAGTCCATGTCATGTGAAACCCTAACATACCTATAGCCCTGAATCCTGAGGTATATAAAATCTGCCTGGCTTAGTTCCAGGTTGTATGTCACGGCCACTCAGACATGGAGACGGAATATGCATAGAACTTGCGTTGCCACTATTGGCGGTACTTTTCTTGGTTGTTATATGAAGGGTTTCCTTTGTGTTGTGATTGGAACATGTTGCTGTGCAACGGAACTTGGTGGAACATAGAGGTAGCATTGCGGCTACATGTGACACCAAGGGTTTGCTTTTCTATTAGTGATCAGGAAGGGTGTTCTTGTATATAAGGGGGTAGGCCCCCTTATATTTTATGTTCTTTACACAATCTGGTAATCTCCTTTGGACACCCTTTCTTACATGCCAGGGAATTATTTTATCTACCATGATACCTTCTCTTTGACCCAACCAGGCTCAAAGTTTCTTCTGACCATCTCCATGATGGGGTCATCACCCCTCTGGTTCCACAACCTCCTACACAGGGTGAGGGGGCTTCGCAGTATCGGCTATCACCTATCCATCAGCAAAAAAAAACTCTGCGTCTGATGTGTGGGTGGCGCGTCCTGACGCCGAGTTTCTTTTTTTTTGTGTCCCCTGTGTCCTGTGCTTCCTGATTCTGGTTGCAACGCCCCGCTGCCTGCCGTGCATCCAGGCTTCCAGCCCTGACGCCCCCCTATGTCCCCTGCGTCCTGTCACCTCTCACTCGCATGGTCACCTCCGGTACCCTCTGGCCCCTCGGTTGAACGTATGGATCACGTCCCTACATTGCTACTGCAAAACCGTCGCTCTGATCACAGCGCTCGCGGCCTTGCGCCTGCCTCACCACCTAACGCTCTGCCCCGGCCTCCATCCTCAGGAATCCTGCCTGGCGCCCCCCTTTGTCACTGCGACATCCAGACCACGTCCTACGGCAGCCTACCCTCCTTTCAAACTACTACGATGAGCTCCTAGTGTCACCCCCTCCTGACGCTCCACTCCTGGCTTCATTGTCCGGATTCCCTCATGGCGTCGCGCAACAATCCTACAATCCGTCCAGTTCCTCCTGCCTGCTCTCGCCACTTCGGAATAACGTCAGACTTGAAACGCAACACTCGCTACACTCCCGATTACACTCTGCTGTGTTGTCTGCTGGTGGCGATCGGTGTGAGTGCCTCCCTACGTTGCCGCGACGTTCATATCAGCTGATAGACATCGGAGCCTGCCTCGTGGCCCCTATCCATGATATCGACGACCCCTCGCGGGCAAGCCTGTCATGGCTCCTCACAGAAGGTTTGTAGATCCTCCAGCGGACACTTGATTTCTAGCACTTTGTCTTAATCATATTCTATTATTTCTATGTACAGCTTGCTATCAAGACACCTTTATCATTCTATGCCCATATTGCCTGTTTGTTGTCGGAGGATTCACGTCTGGTATTAGAAGTTCTGAGTGTCGCATAATCAATGCGTCTGCACGACGTTTGTTAATATATTTTATTAAACGTCCTTAAATCAATACGACAGTTGACCAGCCATCGCCCGTCTGCCTCCGGAACCAGGTGGGCTTGCCCAAGTATCGTGCCAATGTCCACTATGGTAAACCTTCTGGCATCGGGTCTAAGCTGAATGGTGACAAGATCGTGTAATTCTGACAGAGGCCCAGAGTTAACTGCACTCAAAATCTGAACACAAGCGAGTCGATGTATCGTCTTCTGGTGCCTACAATCTCGCAGTTTGAAGAGTGCCATGAGCTTTCCCGGAAGACAGCCGCGGAGCGCACCATACATTTGCTCCCCGCCTGCCTGGACCCAAACCCAATCATTCCGACTCGCCTGGTTTCGAAAAAGCGCGGATCCTGTAGATCTTGCCTGGTGGATGTCGTAAATATCAGTTTCCTGAAAGGCGGGAACTGGGAT